AACATATCAAAATATGGCAACATTTTGTGAATTTTCGTGAATTTACGATGACATATAGCAATATTTCATTAGTAAAAGAGATTGATATGGTGTTTTTAAATGGCAATATATCAGCATATGAAGATATTGTGATATTTTAATGTATCAATATTTTTTCCCTCGTCTTTAGAAGTTTTTAAGTCTGTAAAAAAGAAGTTTTTGAGGAAGAAGAAGTAGAAACTCAGAAGCTGATCAAATATTGGGTTAAATATCGGTGGGGTGGCCGATGCCGGATATTCAGTTTTAAGGCCGATACCGATAGGGGGCCGATTATATTGTGCATCCCTAGTGTTTAAAGCGTTTTTAGTCCATGTTTTTTTTCTCTCTACTGCTGCTCCCGTGTAGCTCCTCTCAGTGTAATCTGTTGTTTTGAGACATCTGAAATGCGACACACAGCAGCACTCAGTGAATTAAGCGGCAGCTACGTCGAAGTTTAAGTAAAAGTTAGGGGGACGGGTTGGTTAAAAGATAAGAGATGCCACAGAAAAATCTGTTTGTTAGACATACAGAGTTTTTTTTAGCTAAAAATGGCAACAGATTGTAAGTTTACACAAGTTAGTATTATAATGCAAGAAGCTTGAGAAAACATAGTTTGTTCTTCTTTACTGGTTAAAAAAAAGTTGGGCTTCTCAGAGGACCATGGCTTCCAGTTACAGGTTAAAATGAACATGTTTTCTTATTGCACAGACAGAATCAGGACTGCAGAGCTTCTACATATCTTGAAATGTTGTTTCTGGCATCGATATATTAGTAAAGAGGTTCATAAATCTTTTCTTAAACAGGGCACAGAGAGAAGTAGAGAGACAGATTTAAACGTGAAACAGATTTACTGGGATATGCAATAAAATATATCTCCAGGTTTACCAGAAAGTTTAAAAGAAAAAATATGTTATGCTATAATTAAAATGCAGAATATCCATATTTTTATCCATATTTAATTGAAATTGTACATTCTAGGGATGCATGATTTATCGATTTCGGCATTAGAATCGGCTATTTGTTATTTTTTCATACATTAATGTTTTTGTGCCCTATATATATAATGCACTAAAAGGCATCTCTAACCAACTGTAAGTATAAATATCATTGTATTATTGTACCATTGTGTTCTCAACAGTAGGAAAGCATTCAGTAAATATACATTTGAGCTCATTTTTGGAAAATACAAAAACCTAATGAAAGCGTTTGGGTTGAGTAACTGTAGTTCCAAACTTTTTTTTTCGATTAAGAAACTTTTCAATGTTTTTTTTCTGAGTTGCATTTTTTAAAGTGTCCATCAGTAAAACCTGCTCTGTGTTTGCAACAAAAATGGAGCAAAATTTACTCCATATGTCTGAATCTGGACTCAGAAGATGACCTCCAACCCTCTAACACCAGTACAGACGTACTCACCTACATCGTGTATGAAGCGTTCGATCTTGGACTGCATACCCCAGTATCTGAACTCTACTTTACAGAGCTTGTAGGCACACATGACGATAGTCTGATCAGGATTCTGGTTGATCTCCTCGATCCAGTCCTCATTCAGCGGCCCCCGTCTGGTTTTAACTGACTGGTAGAGTTTAGGGTCTTCTTCCACCAGGTATTCATTGGGAGGTATGTAGTCCTTGACGATGTCTATAGGGTCTTGATTTTGGGAAAACACAATGGATTGTTAGGCAGAGGCTGATCTGAGCTGCAGATAAGAATAACAGATAAAGATTTTCAAGAAGAAAAATTTGTGGGTTTTTTTATGTGCTTTCCTCTTATGTAATCAGACCCTGCAGGAAGGTATCACAAGCAGACTCAACATTTATTCTGCTCCCCAGTGAATTTTAGTATGCAGCTCCTCAACACAAGCTCTTACACTCCACAAGCTGTATGAATGTGTGCTACAGCAGCTTCCACTGCAAATACTGCTGCACAAATCTGATTTCTTCTTATTAGGAAATGAAAATCAAACAGAGGATCCCAAAGGCACAATTCAAGAGTAATGACCTAGAGAATGTGCGTTTAGATTCATAAACAAACTTACCGACAGTCCTCTGCCTCTTTTCAGCAGAGGATAGATTAAAGACATCCTCTTGATTTCCAGTGTCTGGTTTATAATACGTCTCAATGTCTATGGAGAATTTCTCAACAAATGGGCAGGTGTACCTGGGACAGAAGAAGAAGAGTCTATTAGGATGGAAACAAAACACAATCATAAACAGTCTGTCAAATACAAACCAAGGTTTCTCTGTTTGTTCTTCTTATGAGTTCCTCAACCATCATCAGCATATCTATTTTTTTTTACTAGTAATAGGGCCAGGTTAGATTTTTTTTTTTTTATTATTATGAGAATAAAGTCGTAACATTACGAGAAAGGAACCTTCGAGCTCCAACCAGCAGAT